ATGTGTCACTCCCATTTCCTCTCCTGCCCCCCACTCGGTCTGCGGCACGCAGCCAGGATTTTTCACAGGGGAGTAGAATGAGGATGAGTTTGGAATCTGGCAGAAGTGCATTCTGTGGCACACAGTCCTCCCCACAGAAGAGTATTCCGTTTGTCGTCCTCGGACTGCTTTTGCCGTTTGACCCTGTGCGATCCTGTTGTGGCTGCTGCTTCATCGTCCGTCACCCTGTAGACTCAGCAGATGCTTAGTTGGTTAGACTGTCTGACTCCCGCCAGGCGCCATGTAGGCAAGTTCAGAGTCCACCCTTTGCTGTCCAAAAGTTTCTGGAGAACTGAACCCTTGTGCTTTTCTCTTAGTAGCTCTGGTGAGCTTTCAGAGACCCAGGGCTCAAAAGGCCAGTGCAAGAAAATACCCCTTCTGTGAACAGGTAGAGCTCAGCTCGGAAAATCAAGGACTTTCTCGAGCGTCCTAACAGAGGTTTTGTTGTTGTTGTTGATTTGCACTTTGAGAGAAGGCAAAAATGTAGGCCTCTCTCCACTTCCCCTCATTTCTTTGTCTGAGTCCCTGTCACCCGGGACCACACCTTGAGATTGACAGCTGTGGGACCACTGGTTCTAATGTGCTTCCTTGGACAGTAGCATCAAGATTGATGGTACCTGTATCTCCACAGCTTGTGGCATGGAGAAGGAGTCGCTCAGGCACCTTTTCGCGGCATCGAGTTTAAGAATGAGTTCCCTTGCAGGGCGCCTGGGTGGCTCAGTGGGTTAAGCCTCCGACTTTAGCTCAGGTCACGGTCTTGTAGTTCGTGAGTTCGAGCCCCGTGTTGGGCTCTGTGCTGTCAGCATGAGCCCCCTTCGGATCCTCTGTCCCCTCTCTCTCTGTCCCTTTACCACTTGCTCACTCTCTCAAAAATAAACATTAAAAACAAGACAAATGAGTTTCCTTGCAAACCTTGGGCTGGCTTCTTCCCACCCCGTACCGCCCAGTTGTCTCATTACTGCCTCTCACCAAGCCGGGAGTGTGGTGTGTGGGAGAGCCCATGCATAAGCAGCCCGGGCATGAATCATGCTTGTAACCATCCTGCTTTCAGCCTAGGTCAACAAATACGTATTGAACACCTACTATGTGCCAGGCGTCCCAGGAACTAAAGCAGAAATCACCCTCGTCAAGCTTATATTCTGATAAGCCCAGGTAGACGGACCAGACCAACAGGGAAAACATATAATATGTTAAATGGTGATAAGTGTTCACAGACAAACCAAGGAAAGGGGGCTGGGAAGGCCCATAGAAAGAATCAGTTTTATTTTTTATTTATTTATTTATTTATTTATAATTTTTTTTTCAACGTTTTTTATTTATTTTTGGGACAGAGAGAGACAGAGCATGAACGGGGGAGGGGCAGAGAGAGAGGGAGACACAGAATCGGAAACAGGCTCCAGGCTCTGAGCCATCAGCCCAGAGCCCGACTCGGGGCTCGAACTCACGGACCGCGAGATCGTGACCTGGCTGAAGTCGGACGCTCAACCGACTGCGCCACCCAGGCGCCCCAAGAATCAGTTTTAAATAGGAAACTCAAGGAAAGCTCTTCCCAGAGAGGTCAGTGAGGGAGGATCTGAGGAAGTAAGCTGGGCAGCTATCTAAGGGGAAGAGCCATCCAGGGAGCCTGAACAGCAAGTACAGACTGCCTGAGACAGTAATATGCCTGTTGTGTGCGAGGCACATCCCAGAGGCTTTGTGGCAGGAGCAGAGTGAGGACACAAGGTCTAAGACGTAGTGGGAGGCCAATTTATACTTTCCAAGGTTGCCTTGGGTGCAGATTAAAGGTGGGCATGAGCTGGCGCATGTGGGGAGTGGTGACGGTGCCTGGGAGGAGGGTGCTAGCAGCAGCGGAGGTGAGGAGAGGAGTGGCCAGGTCTTCTAAATGCATTTTCCCCGCCCTCTGAGGGTGTGCTTAGAGCTCTGAGGGGCAGTGTGGTCCCAGGGCTCTGGGAGGATGGGCCAGGGTTTTGGGTTTTGAGTTCTTACACACTGTGTGAGCTCATCTTAGATCATTTCCTCATGTAAAAAAGAAAGAGAATTCTTTCCTTAGAAGGGTGTGGAAGGCTTCTGAGATAACATACTGAAAGGGTCTTCCCACACTCACTTTCTCATCTCCCACTGGGCTGGCCCCCCTGCCTGTGCCCAAGTCTGCCATGAGCCTTTATATTCTAGTCACTTGTGGTTGACTTGTTTCTCTCCCCACCAGAAAGTGGGCAGGGACTGTGGCTCCTGTGCTTGGCACAAAATGCACAATAGATGTTTGGATGGATAGAGAAATGGAAGGAAGCAAGGAAGAAAAGAATGAGTTAAGAATTCATACATAGCGGCACCTGGGTGGCTCAGTTGATGGAGTGTCCCACTCTTGATTTCTGCTCAGGTCACATCATCCAGGGTTGTAGGATTGCGCCTCACATTGGGGTCCGTTCTGAGTGTGGAGGCTGCTTAAGATTCTCTTTCTCCCTCTCCCACCACTGCTCATGTGCACTCACTCTCAAAAAAAAAAAAAAAAAAAGGAATTTCATGCATAGATAATGAGGGAGCAGAAGGCAAGCTGAAGGCACAGCGCTAGCTAACAGCCCCCTCCCCTCCCCTCCCCCCAGGGGGGATCTGTGTGACATTCCTCAGGCACTCCTGGCTGCCCAAGAACAAAGGAAAGGGAAAAACTTGTGGTTATCTCTTGGAGATCACAGTCATGTGGGACCTGAGTGTTTCTATCAGTTTGCAACTAACTTTTTTATTTATTACAAAAAGTTTTTTTACGATGTTTTTATTATTGAGAGAGAGAGACAGACAGACAGTGTGAGTGGGGAGGGGCAGAGAGGGAGACACAGAGTCTGAAACAGGCTCTAGGCTCTGAGCTGTCAGCCTTGAACCCATGAACCGTGGGCTCGTGACCTGAGCCGAAGCCAGACATTCAACTGACTAAGCCACCCAAGCACCTCCGTTTGCAACTGTCTTAATGATTTACAAGCAAAAAGCAATCTTATCAATAACCAAACTTTCCAGAAACCTGTAGCTTCAATTACAATTTTCTGGGACCCCGTCACCCTCCCCTCCATAGGATAGAAAATCTTACATAAACACTCCTCACACTTATAATGCAACTCTTTCTGCCCATAGATCCTGTCCCCTGTGTTTTAATAAAACCACCCTTTTGCCCCGAAGCTGTCTCAAGAATTCTTTCTTGGCCGTTGCCTCCAAACCCCAACACCTCAAACCACGCTGTAGATATTAGTGTAATATTTGAGTTGGTACATTCCAACAGATGGTGGGACTTTATTTTTTTTTCGGAGTTCAGTGTTTAAGGACCTCAAATGATGAGTTAAGGCATTGGCCATATTTGTTATTTAAATTAGTCTAATTAGGAAGACATGTACACTTATCTTTGTGTTTTAAAATTTATCTTTTCCCTGCTTTTGGCTTATAAAGAAGTGTTTGTTCAGAGATGCTAATTGGTGTTTTTACTTAGGTGTTCTTTAAGAATAAAGACCTCATGGGTCGCCTGGGTGGCTCGGTCCCTTAAGCATCCACTTCAGCTCAGGTCATAATCCCGCAGTCTGTGAGTTCGAGCCCCGCGTCGGCTCTGTGCTGACAGCTCAGAGCCTGGAGCCTGTTTCAGATTCTGTGTCTCCCTCTCTCTCTGACCCTCCCCCGTTCATGCTCTGTCTCTGTCTCAAAAGTAAATAAACGGTAAGAAAAAAAATTTAAGAACAAAGACGTCATTGGCAGGTTTCATCAACGGTCTAAGGAAATTTTTCCTAACATTTTAGCATGAAAATTTTCAAGTGCACATAAAATACAAAGATAGTAACAATTTAACACTAGCTTAATACACAGATAATCTAAATCAGTACAGGACAGGTTTTCTTTTGCGTTTAGAATGCTTCTGTTACATGTTCTATAATATGGAGAAGGCTCAGTCTGTTAACTTCCCTGTTAGAAAAATTCTGGGTATGACACCTCCTTTCACTGTGAGACCCCCTTTGACCATCATCTGGAAATGCTGCATCGTTTATATTTAAAGTCAGGGTTATGGGTTGAATTGTGTCCCCTCAAAAAGATATGTTGAAGTCTGTGATATTGTAATTTAAATAAGAAGTAGTTGACCCTTGAACAATGAAGGGTTGGGGGCACATTCCCATTCACACAGTGGAAAATCCGTGTGTAACTTTGCCCCCGCTCAAAAAAAAACTACAAGTACCCTACTGTTGATGGGTTACCACTAACCTAAACGGTCGATTAACACATATTTTGTAGATTATGTGTATTATATACTGTATTCTTAACAATAAAGTAAGCTAGGGAAAAGAAAAAGTTACTAAGAAAATCATGAGAAAAGACATATACAGTACTGTACTATAAGAAAAAACCCACCTGTAGGTGGACCTGGGTCCTTCCAACTCCTGTTGTTCAAGGGGCAAAGGTATATATTTGGTCTTTGTTTCCATTTCTGACAAAGCTCCTAAAACCTTGGGAATTTCCTGAGTGATTGTAATGATAAAAGTGAAATGGGTGTCTTTTGTTATTTGTATAATAAGCCCCTTTCAACCGCACTGGAATTTGTGTTATTTAGGTTACTTTTGGGAAGCCCCTGAGGATAGGGCGGGGGGGGGGGGCCCCCCGCAGGTAGAATAGAATAGAGACCTTGATTTGAAGATTAGAATTTTCAGTCCCACCTTCCACTTCCTAGGAGAGGAGAGGGCCTGGGTTGGTGTAGTCGCCAATGGCCGGTGGTTTAATCTATCAATGCCTTCATAATGAAGCCTCCATAAAACCCCAGAAGGTTGTGGTTCAGAGAGCTTCTGGGTTGATGACCACGTGGAGATTCAGGGACAGTGGCTCCCAGAGAGGGCATGGAAGCTCTGCACACTTTGCGTGCACCTTTGCATATCTTCCATATGGCTATTCCGGAGATACATCCTTTGATCATAAGCTGGTAGTCTAGTAAGTAAATGTTTTCCTGAGTCTGTGAGCCACTCTGGCAAATTAATAGACTCGGGAGAGAGGGTCATGGAAACCTCCAGTTTATAGCCGGTGGGTCAGAAGCACAGGTAACAACCTGGACTAGGATTGGTGACTGAAATAGGGGGCTGCGGACCCTTCAGCTGTGTGATCTGATGCTGTCTGTCGGTAGTGTCAGAACTGAGTTGAATTATAGGACACCCAGCGGGTGTTGGAGGATTGTGTGGTGACCAGCTGTGAGAGGAGACACAGGAGTGAGTTTGCCCTTTACAAAAGCCCTAACTCCCAATACCTCAGAGTATGACTTTGCTTGGAAATAGGGTCTTTACAGAAGTAGTGAAGTCCAAATGAGGTCATCAGGGTGGGCTGTAACCCAGTAGGACTGGTGTCCTTACAAAAAGAGGGGATTTGGAGACAGGCATGCAGAGAAGAAAGATGATGTGAAGACCCAAGGAAAGTACTTACAGTGTGAAGACTGACAGGATTAGTGTGATTTGTCTACAGGCCAAGGGATGCCTGATGAGGCTGCCAGAAGCTGGGAGAGACGCCTTAATCCCAGCACCTTCAGAAGGAACATGGCCTTGCTGGCACCTTGATTTCAGGCTTCCAGAACTGAGAGATAATACGTTTCTGTTGTGTTAAGTAACCCAGTTTGTGGTACAGTCCCAGGAAACTGGAGTCAGCCATCACGTTTCCTGTTGACTGAAGAAATACTAATACCTGGGCCCAGTGTGAGTGGAAGTCTGGAAGGTCTTGGAACCTCAGGGTAGTACTTGGTTAGCAGCTGGTTATCTCTGGGATCCCCCAAATACAGTTAAACTAATATTCTTTGCCATCTAAATAAATACATCATTTAAAAAAAAATTTTTTTTTCAACGTTTATTTATTTTTGGGACAGAGACAGAGCATGAATGGGGGAGGGGCAGAGAGAGAGAGGGAGACACAGAATCGGAAACAGGCTCCAGGCTCTGAGCCATCAGCCCAGAGCCCGACGCGGGGCTCGAACTCACGGACCGCGAGATCGTGACCTGGCTGAAGTCAGACGCTCAACGGACTGCGCCACCCAGGCGCCCCATAAATACATCATTTAAAATCATCTGTAGCAAACCTGTGGAACTTCCAAGAATATGCCTGTGGAGCCAGTTTGAAAAACCCTGATGTAGGAATAAGAGAAACAGCCCAGGCTTTGATTCTGAGTTCAAAAGCTCTCTCTGCCACTTGGCCAACTGCATAATCTTTCGGAGTCTGTTTTGCGCCTGTAGAATCGGAATGATACTTCTCTCCCCTGTGGGTTGTGGGCTTAGAACTAGAGGTTATGAAAATGGTCTAGCATCAAGCCTTGTACCTGGCAGGTGCTCAGGAGTTGGTTGAAGAATGGATCCTGGGGTGAAGGTAAGAATCAGACAAGGGCTAGAGTAGGATAGGTCCTGGCCTGGGGGGTCAGATGGGGTCTGATTCCCCTGTTTTTGAACACTGAGAGGTTTTCATCCAAGTGGTTTTTCTACCTCAAAGAGAGCATCTGGTGCAGGTGTGAGCCTTGTTTCCTTAACAAGGCACAGAGAATCCCCAGAGGCTTGGCCAAGGTCAAGCCATCTTGTCTTTGTCAGGTGGTCTTGACATTTGGGCTATTTTCTTTTCTTTTTTCTATTTTAATGTTTATTTATTTTTGAGAGCGCGAGCGTCTGAGAGCAAGCAGGGGAGGAGCAGAGAGAGGGAGACACAGAATCTGAAGCAGACTCCAGGCTCTGAGCTGTCAACACAGAGCCTGATGTGGGGCTTGAACTCATGAACCATGAGAACATGACCTGAGCTGAAGTCAGACACTTAACCGACTGAGCCACCCAGGCATCGGTCTTTTCTTAATAGGACAACAAAAACAGAACAGACAAAAAACTGGTTGTTTTTTTTCCTCTTTTTTGTTCTTTTAAATAACAGCCTTATTGAGATATAATTCACGTACCATACAGTTCACTCATTTAAAAGTGTAGACTTAATGGTTTTTTTAGTATATTTGCAGAATTGTGCAGTCACCACCACAATCAATTTCAAAACATTTTCATTACCCCCAAAACAAACTCTCTACCCATTAGCAATCACTTTCCATTTCCTCCCTCCCAAACCCCCAGGCCAAGCCAGCCCTAATTTACTTTCTGTTTCTCTGGATTTGCCTGTTGTGGACACTTTCTGTAAATGGAATCAGATGTCACGTGGTCTTTTGTGTCTGCCTTCTTTCAGTCGGCATCAAGTTTCCAAGGTTCGTCTGCGTTGTGGCTTCTGTCCGCAGTTCGTTTCATTCTGTTGCGAAATGATCTTCCATCGTGTGGCTGCACCATACATTTTGTTTATCCGCTCATCAGCTGGTGCACATTTGGGTTGGTTGTTTCCAGTGTCGGGCTCTTAGGATCAGTGTTGCCTTAAACGTGTGTGTGCAGGTTTTTGCATGGGCATATGCTTTCCTATCTCTCGGGTACCTACCTAGGCGTAGCTTTGCTGGCTCACGTGGTAGTTCTGTGCTTGACCTTTTGAGGAACCGCCAGAGTGTTCTTCCCCAGCAGCCGCTCCGGTTTACATGGCACAGGCAGTGCACGAGGGCTCCGACTTCTCCACGTCTTCACCGGTGCCGCTTACAACCAGTCTTCTGATGATAGTCTTTCTGGTGGGTGTGAAGTGGTGTTTCTCTGTGCTGTGGTGTTGGTCTTTGAAATTTCAGTTTTCTTTCTTCTTCTTTTTTTTAAATTTTACTTGAGAGCGAGAGCAAATAGGGGAGAGGGGCAGAGGGAGAGAATCTTAAGCAGGCTCCACACTCAGCGCCGCGCCTGATGCGGGGCTCTATCCTAAGACCCGGAGACCATGACCTGAGCCGAAATCAAGAGTTGGATGCTCAGCTGACTGAGCCACCTGGGCAACCCTTGAAATTTCTTTAAGTTTTATTTTTAATGTTTTTTTTTTGAGAGGGGTGGGGAAGAGAGAGAGGAAGACACAGGGTCTGAAGCAGGCTCCAGGCTCCAAGCTGTCAGCACAGAGCCAGACGTGGGGCTCACACTCATGAACTGTGAGATCCTGACATGGGCTGAAGTCAGCCGCTTAACCCCCTGAGCCTCCCAGGCGTGCCCCTTTGAAATTTCTTTTAATCAAAGTAGTTGTATTCATTATATGAGGAAATAAGTGAAATATCTCTAGCTGAAAAGTCTGGTGTAATTAATAATATAACTTCTAAATTAACTTCCATTCTTTTACATATTCCTTCTTGAAAAGTAAGCTCTACTCCCAACGTGGGGCTTGAACTCACAACCCTGAAATCAAGAGTTGCGTGCTTTTCCGACTAAGCCAGCCAGGCGCCCCCCCATTCCTTATTCCTTCTTTACTAGTCATTTGTCAAAGCCGATCATCCCAAACCAGTGTTGGATAGAATAGTTGTGAGTGTGTATAGTGCAGCTTGTACTTACTTCCTTGCTCAAACTGCACAAGAACAGGCAGGCGCCTGGAGCGTCAGGGTCCTTCCCACTGCAGAGCTGAAGGTGGGGAGGCTTCGTCAGCAGCCAGCCTTTTGAGGGATGGTAGCAGGTGTCCGGGCCCTTGTCATCACATGTAATTGGCCGGGGCATTTACTCCTGATTCTCCCAAGGGTTAGCTGCTGCCGGGCAGATAGGGTGGGGAGTATAAATGGGTACAGCCCGAACACTACACATAGACTCCCCTGTCCTCTTTAGAGATAAGCTTTACAGCCTGCAGATTCCCTCGTAAGGAACAAGAAGCCTAACAAAACGCATAGCACCTGTGAGGCCAAAAGTAAATGTTGGTTTAATGAATGATTTGCTTTGGCTTTGGGAGGCAGACACTATTCGAGCATCGCAGCTGGAGCAAGCCATTAAGCTCCCCGAGCCTTGGTACCTTATCTGTAAGAGAGATACCAAGTGCCTCTGCTGCAGCGTTCCCACGGTGACATAAAAGCGCCTGGCTCCTGGTACGCGCTCAGTAAATGTTAATTCACTTTCCATAAGTGGCTCTGCTGTTCGTCTCATGTTTTTCTCTACAGGTTTAGCCCAGCTCTAGATATGACCGAACACAGGGTCGATAGTACTGTTTTGCTTATCTTCACAGAGAAATAATGAGCATTTGGCTAAAATTAAGTATCGATGGAAATGAATATTGCAGTTTGGTTGCTGCTGATTGACATGTTTGCTAAATAGCTACTCAAATTTCAGGAAGCTTGCCTAGAAATTAAAAAAAAAAAAAAAAATCCTAAGAAGAGTTACCCTCTTTGCCAGGTACTTATTTATAAAATTGTCTTCTATGGAATGACCCAGCTGAAAATTTTTCTATAAAACACTGGCTGAGCTTTGGCTCAAGAGTTCAAGTTAGCCTGCATAAAATCTTAAACATCAATGGGTATGAAAGGGTTGGGTCATTTTTTGGAGCTTCTTTGCCTTGGAAATACATCTTTCTTTCTTTCTTTCTTTCTTTCTTTCTTTCTTTCTTTCTTTCTTTCTTTCCTTCTTTCCTCTTTCTTTCTTTCTTTCTTTCTTTTCTTCTTTCTTTCTTTCTTTCTTTCTTTCTTTCTTTCTTTCCTTCCTTCCTTCCTTCCTTCCTTCCTTCCTTCCTTCCTTCCTTCCTTCCTTCCTTCCTTCCTTCCTTCTTTCGCTGTTCTTTTGGTCACTGGGTCTTTTTTTAGACTTGCAGGGAAGTCATAGTAACAGGCTCCATGTCTGATTGGGTTCCATGGCAACAAAGGGTTGTGACTTTTATTAGAGAAGAGTCGAGCATGCCAAGAAAGATAAAAATCAGAGTATGGAAAATGTCTGACCAGATGAATGTGTTTTTTTGGATGGCGTGTCCTGGAACGAAACATTTCCCCGAATTGGCATCAGTCTCTGTTGCAAATTTGAATCCCACCGGGTTATCATTAGGTCATAGGGATCAGTGCTTATTTCCAAAAGATCTGCCTGCATCTTCATTCATCCTTTTTTATATCTTGGTATATTTAAAAAAAAAATCAAAACAGTAATGGTAGGAACCTAACCGGAGAGGATTCTGATTTCAAAGGTAGAAAAGAAATTTAGCTCATTCTTTGTGCAACTGATTACAGCTGTAAATTGTGAGACTGTGTGGGAGGGCCAATTAGAGGCAATTATAACTCGATTGAACGCCCCCTGAATTAAAGCTTGCTGTGTGCATTCCAAGCTGGGGGTCTTGTTTCCATCCCTGTTCCTCGTTGATGGGTGTAGAGGTACGGGTTCCAGGATAAGGTTGTAGAATCTCGGTAGGAGACGCCCTCTGTGCTCTCCCACAGCAAGGTGCAGGCTGATGTTCTGACTGAAAGTGTTGTAATTTGTTAGAGACCTTTTTGCTAAAGGTTCTAATATTTGGCAAGAAATAGCAAGAATTTCGAATCCTCTTCCCCGGTTATGAATGTGTAGGACTGTCTTTGCTTTTTTTTTTTTTTTTTTTTTTTTTTAAAAGTTTTTTTTTTTTTGGGAAATGGAGTGAAAGAGAATGAAAGGGGGGGGGGCAGAGAGAGAGGGAGACACAGAATCGGAAACAGGCTCCAGGCTCTGAGCCATCAGCCCAGAGCCTGACGCGGGGCTCGAACTCACAGACCGCGAGATCGTGACCTGGCTGAAGTCGGACGCTTAACCGACTGCGCCACCCAGGCGCCCCGCTGTCTTTGCTTTTTTATCAGATGTGCTGTGTTTATATTTCTCCTCATCCTGACATTGAAAGTGGAAAAACT